CTCGTGGACGATGCACGGGATGCACCGGTACACGTTCGGCCTGGGGTAGTGAGATATGGCTTCATGTCACTTTCCCACTGCACAGCTTCGAGGGAAGTAACAAGCAACTTCACCACTAGAGAAGGGCTGTGGGATACAAACAATGGCCAAAGTACAAGAAGAACATGGAAAGGCCATGCCGTGACCCGGATTCGAACCGGGGTTGCTGCGGCCACAACGCAGAGTACTAACCACTATACGATCACGGCTCCTCACCCTTCAGCTGATGAGACAGCTTTTGCTGTGGTTGGTATCTCGCAGCCCTTCTCAAATGGGACAGTCTGGTCAGCCCAGGGATGGAAAGCTGAATCATCCATTACCCCAAAAGGCCATATACGGCTTGTCTCAGTGAGAACCCAGTGATGAAGATCTGCAGGTGACAAACCATGGCCAAACAAGACTGCAGAAAATCCATGCCTTGAGCAAGTCGTGCACTTTACCATAGAACGGCCTAACCATTTAACAGCAGCAACAACAATTTTATTATTATTATTATTTTTTATTATTATTACAACAACATCTTTTATATACTAATCAACCTACCTTTAGTGTCATAGTACAAGTGCAGTAAGATTGAGTGTGCAGTTCATCCTGGGAGTCGAACCCAGGCTGCTTTGGTGAAAACCCTGTTTCTAGACCATGAGGAACGAAAATGAAGAAATCCACCTACAAGGAGTTTCTTCAGCTGGTCTGAAGTTCCAAATTTTATTGCACTGGCTATGAATTTACAAAAAAGCAGCTATTTTTTTATTTCTAAATATGATGTTTTAGAATATTGGCCTGTATGTATACTGATTTTTATGTTTATAATTTGACAGTTCAACAGTTTTTACCCAGAAGTTCAATGTGGTGTGAACAGAAGTGCGACAAATTTACTCTTCCTACGGTCTTTGGTCCCTGTATTTATTTTTTTATATGTTTTTTTTTCTTTTTTATTACACTCAGATTTTTATCATGTTATGTAAGCTTGCCATTTGCCATTTCAAGCTTGTTCCGAGAGGGCGTGACAGAGTTCATGGAAGCAGTGTGAGATGCAGTTGCTGTACCCGTCTCTGCACCTGGATGCTTTGCCTTTCAGCGACCTGCTGGTTCAGCTGCTGGCTCTGCCTCACAGGTAGCTATGACAGTCCACTGAGCCAGTATAGCCAAACCATTTCAAAGCTCAATAGAGTAATGCAGAATTAAGGAAATGCAAGGAATATGTGTATTATATCATTCTAGTAACCTAGAAATCAATTTTGATATATGAGTCAGGTTCATGTGGACACTGTGACATTCCAGTAGCATTAGTCTAGCTATTTTATGCTCTTTCTATTTTCTTGGAGTATGTACCAAGCTATATAATAAGTGATAAAAATTGTGTTAGAAATGATGTCTTTCAATAAAAGAGGAAAATATGTTAAAAACACACCCCAGGATCACATCTAATAGACACCTGCACTGTTTTTAATTATACAAGCTATAGAGGTAGCTTTGTTTACAGTATCATGTTGTATGCCCCCAACATTTCCTGCATACAACACAGAATTGAAGAGCTGATCTTGGTATCCTAGGCACTGTTAGATGTTACTCAGGCTATTAAGGGGATTAACAGAGTTTGCTGCCATAACCAGTAGGCTGACCCTATCTTTAACAAAGGACCAAAGAACTCCAAAAACGATCACATTTGCATGCTTGGTTTGCAAAGGTTTGTATTTGGTGATTTTAGATATCTCTTTCCGTAATGTTCATGAAAACTACCAGCTCTTTTGCAACATTTTCTTGGTCTCTTCATTACAAAACTGTTACCTCTAACTCAAAAACCTGTGTAAATAAAAAAGGGGTGTCATACTCAAATTCTGCACGGGCCACATCAGCATTTTTGGGAGACCCCGAAAGGCTGTAAGTCTATACATGTAAAGAAGAACTAACAGAAACTATTAAAGTGCGTGTACTATTAGAAAAAAACATTTATTATACTGATTATAATAAAAGTTATTTTTTTAATAGTCCATGTGGCTTTGTGCCAAACATTATACTTGGCTTTTTCATAAAGTTTAATAATGCTCAGTAAACATTTGACTCGACTTTAATCACAGCAGACCACAAAATCTTTTTCAAAAGCTCTTAGATTTACTAACATGGCCTTTCTCAGAAGTGGCCTCCTTCTTGCTGCTCTCCTATTTCAGCTAGTGAACTTGATTGCTGGAGGTGGACTATTGGAAACTTCTCTGACAATGCACATAGAGATATACTTCATATTACTGCTACATGTGAACACATTACTGTTACTACACGTACTATTGTTTTGCACAAGTCAACATTGCACACTCACACATCCAGATGTACATAGTCTATATTTCTATATACATAATCTATATTTCTACTTCTGCAACATAGCTACATTTTATTATGTTTGTTTGTATGTATGTGTATGTCTCTTTTTATTTTTTACATAGTTTGCATTTGTCTTGGCATTCAACGTGGACAGCAAAGAAAGAATTTCATTGTACAGGGAAACATGGTTTTCCTCACTGTGCACATGACAATAAACGCTTTGAATCTTGAATCTTTGAGGATGTATTTATAATGGATTTCACAGTTCTCCTAAGAAGGGTAAAAGTTTTGCCAACATTTTTATAGCCTTTTTTTTCTCTACCTAACAGCTTCATCTCAAAGCTTCACAGGCACTTCCTTGGTCTTTATGACAGCAGGACTGATCTGATCTTCCATTTTAGCTGTGAGAGCTCACAAAGTTAGAGATATTTATTGTGCAAGCATAAAATTAGACACAGCTAAATTTAAAATGAACACAGGTGTACCCTGTTTAACAGATTTAGTGTGAGCTCTCGAAAATGAAATACTAGTCCTAATTAAGGTTGTTAAAAGGAAGGGGGATGAATACTTATCAATAAAGCAGTTTTTAAAGTTTTTAAAAAATAATTGTTAGGGCACCTAAATGCTTCATTTAATTTGATGCAGCAGGAGAGGAGGTGGGGGGGCAGGGGCAATTAACATGGCTCACCAATTTATTATGGTTATTTGTGTGTGGGCTATATTAACAAGCTGTTTGTCTTTCGTTCTCTCTCATAGTCAGCCGAGTCAGAGTGTCCTCTGTGTGTGTGTGTGTGTGTGCGTGTGTGTGTGTGCGTGTGCGCGCACGCAACAAGTGAGCTGAAGGTGAGTCGCTGCAAAGATTGAATTAAATTATAAATAGCAGATGGAGAGTAGTATCTAAGATAGAGGTATTTAATTTTTTTCCTCATGAGTCCCACTTCCCAGTTCTTTGAGAACTCAACCCAAAAAAAAAAAACCCTTGTCAAATTGTTGCCTATTATTACCTGGAAAATAAAATTAAATAAAACCCAGCACAACACAGCAGAACACTGGTGGTGGTAAACACAGTGGTAAGACACATAACGGTACATTTTGGATATAATCCTTTTATAAATCGCTTGTCTTATGTCCCCCTGAAACCATGAATGGTCTCTGACTGTTGCAAAAGAACTGCAGTCACATCATCTGCCCTTCAGAAAAGCAGATAAATTTTTTTTTTATGGAAATATAAAATTATGTAACAACATATTTTGTAGAACAGAATTATTCATCAACAGTGAAGTATAAAGGTGAGCCTAAAGAGTGGTTTTTGACTATTTTTTGTCAAAATATTTCAGGCCAAAGTGAGAGTACAAGAGGAAAGGGAAACGTCCATGTCATGACCCAGATTCCAACTGGGGTCATTTCGCTATCCCACCCAAGACCTGCTGCTGGTTAAAGGCCATGATCAAACTGAGAGTACAAGTGAGATGCATAACATTCATACCTTGATCCAGATTCGACCTGGGCTTGCTGCGACAGTAGTTACGCTGCCAGAAATTCATATCCTGGATGAAGCATGGGATGCACTGGTACACGTTCAGCCTGGGGTAGTGAGATACGGCTTTATTTCGCTTTCCCACTGGCAACCTTCACAACCCTGCACAGCTTCGAGGGAAGCAACAAACAACTTCCCCACTGGAGAAGGGCTGCGGGATACAAACAATGGCCGAAGTACAAGAGGAAAGTGAAAAGGTCGTGCCGTGACCCGGATTCGAACCGGGGTTGCTGCGGCCACAACGCAGAGTACTAACCACTATACGATCACGGCTCCATATATCTCTGCAGTTGTGAGAATTGTTATTATACCAGAAAATCATCTCCTGGCTGAAGCATTGGCTGCAATGGTACAAGTTCAGCCTGGGGAACCAAGATATCGTCTCATTTCGCTTTCACAATGGCAACCTTTACAACCCTGCATAGCTTCAAGGTAACCAACAAACAACTTTCCCACTGGAGACCATGCACAGCTTTGAGCTTTGTGGAAGTCAACAAGCAACTTTCTCCACAACTCTGGATGGGGTAAGAGAGAGCCTGGCCAGCCTGGGATGGAAAGCCGAATCTTCTGACCCATAATCCATCTACAGCTTGCGTCAGGGAAATCCTACCACATCAGGCTTTCCCCCCTGCAGAAGGGCTGCGAGATATAAACCATGGCCAAAGTCCAAGTAAAAGAGTAGTGTGGAAAGTCCATGCTGTGACCCAGATACGAACGGGGGGTTGCTGCGGCCACAAAGCAAAGTAATGACCACTATGCAATGCACCCTGCAAGCGGGACTGAACGATGTGACTCCAGTTGCTGGCTGAAAAATGAGACCTACAAGTCAGTCTTGCATCGGTCACGAAGAAAGGTGATGCTCATTTCAACGTTGCTCAGGATAAAAGCCACTTCCCATACCGGGAGTTGAACCCGGGCCGCCTGGGTGAAAACCAGGAATCCTAACCGCTAGACCATATGGGACCTCTACTTATGTACTTAGGCATACTAAGGGCTGCGTTTATGGTCCAGAAACAGCCCGGGTCAGGAGAAGAGCACTTTTTGAGTTGGGCAGGCTGTAGTTTGATTTCTGGGTGGGTCAAACAGTGCCATTATCAATAATGCTGGGGAGGAGAAAGGATTTGAACCTAGAATCTTCTGATCCGTAGTCAGACGCGTTATCCATTGCCATTATCCATAATGCTGGGGAGGAGAAAGGAGATCCGAGCCAGCCAGGAGTCGAACCTAGAATCTTCTGAGCCGGAGTCAGACACGTTATCCATTGCGCCACTGGCCCACATCACATCTGCTGAAGTCATTGCTCCTTGATTTCACTATCCCTTGCAAGACGTAGTTGCTTTAGTTAACACTGCTGGTTTACAAGCCATGACCAAACTGAGAGAACAAGAGGTATGGGGCCAGGGGTTCGGCCACGTGTAGTGAGATAAGGCTTCATTTCACTTTCCCACTGGCAACCTTCACAACCCTGCACAGCTTCGAGGGAAGCAACAAACAACTTCCCCACTGGAGAAGGGCTGCGGGATACAAACAATGGCCGAAGTACAAGAGGAAAGTGAAAAGGTCGTGCCGTGACCCGGATTCGAACCGGGGTTGCTGCGGCCACAACGCAGAGTACTAACCACTATACGATCACGGCTCCATATATCGCGGCAGTTGTGAGAATTGTTATTATACCAGAAAATCATCTCCTGGATGAAGCATTGGCTGCAATGGTACAAGTTCAGCCTGGGGAACTGAAATACCATCTCATTTCGCTTTCACAATGGTAACCTTTACAACCCTGCATAGCTTCGAGGGAACCGACAAACAACTTTCCCACTGGAGACCATGCACAGCTTTGAGCTTTGTGGAAGTCAACAAACAACTTTCTCCACAACTCTGGATGGGGTAAGAGAGAGCCTGGCCAGCCTGAGATGGAAAGCCAAATCTTCTGACCCGTAATCCATCTACAGCTTGCGTCAGGGAGATCCTACCACATCAGGCTTTCCCACTGCAGAAGGGCTGCAATATACAAACCATGGCCAAAGTCCGAGTAAAAGAGTAGTGTGGAGAGTCCATGCTGTGACCAAGATACGAGCAGGGGTTGCTGCGGCCACCAAGGAAAGTAATTACCACTATGCAATGCACCCTGCAAGCGGGACCGAACGCTGTGACTCCAGTTGCTGGCTGAAAAACAAGACCTACAACTCAGTCTCTCATCGGTCACAAGGAAAGGTGATGCTCATTTCAACGTTGCTCAGGATAAGAGCCGCTTCCCATACCGGGAGTCGAGCCCGGGCCGCCTGGGTGAAAACCAGGAATCCTAACCGCTAGGCCATATGTGACCCCTGCTCATGTACCTGCATACTAAGGGCTGTGTCTATGGTCCAGAAACAGCCCGGGTCAGGAGAAGAGCACTTTTTGAGTTAGGCAGGCTGTAGTTTGATCTCTGGGTGGGTCAAACAGCACCGTTATCCATAACGCTGGGGAAGATAAAGGAGGGACGAGCCAGCCAGGCGAAGAACCAAAAATCTTCTAATCCGTAGTCAGATGTGTTATCCATTGTGCCACTGGCCCAGTCCCAGGGCTGCTCCATTCCAGCCATCCTGCTCCCGTCACCGTTCCACATTTATATACCGACCTGAGGATGCGCGAGACCATAGGGCACGGGCAGTAAGTCAAGTCAAGTGGAGTTTATTGTCATTTCAGCCATATACAAGTACATAGTGAAACGAAACAACGTTTCTCCAGGACCAAGGTGCTACATAAGACAACACAGAACAACACAGAGCTACGGGGACTACATAAATTAAACATAAATTAAACATAAAGTGCACAAGTGCAAACGTGTGGACGCACAAGACAGAACAAGACAGTACAATAACTACAACACCGACCAGTACGCAGTTCTGTTTGAAAGTGGCTAAGTGACAATAGTGCAAATAATACAGAGTTTGGTATAAATAGCTGAAGTAATGTAAACATATGGTATTGTATTATGTAAACATAATAGTAGCAGCAGCAGCATAAAACATGTGCAAAACATGTGT